TGACAGCTCTGTGCTTGGCAAATTCCAGGCGCTGCCTGTAGCAGCATCTCCCTGAGGGGAAAGGGCCTGGCTCATGGATGAGCCCTTAGCCTGCTCCCACCCGTCCCACTGAATTCGGCCCTGCCACGGCTGCGGGATGGTCAGCCCCTGACTGCCCCAGCGCTGCTCCGGCGGCAGAGCCCGCACAGGCAGGAGCAGATGGATGGTGCCTTGCCAGCAGCCCAGGCTGATGCAGGTTTTCCGGGCTCTCTCTCTTTTCCTTCAAGCAGGCCCTGTATTCCAGGTCCTCTCTTTTGTTTCAGCACAGGGGACGATACCTTCTTGTTCTCAACTCCCAGGCTGGCCCCGGCTCTGCTCCGGACATGCCAGAGCCTTCTGAGCGGCGAGGCAGTGGTGCCCCGGGAGCGGCTGCTGGGTTTCCTGGGCTCCAGTTTGCGGCGTCTTTCTGCCTGAGACTGAGCTCTCCCCAAATGGGAGGCTTTTCCTTGTGCATCCATCCTGCTAGGAAATCAGTTGTGATTTCCTCTGTGGGTAGCAATTCTTGCAGGTCCTTTTCTTGAAGGGTGGCTGCAGTCTGGTGGGATGATTCCCTCAGAGGAGGGAAGTAAAACCAAAACACCACCTACCTCAGCTGCTGCCAGAAGGTCATTCTCTCCCCTGCACCCTATTTATGTTTATTATTCTGCCATTAACATGATTTTATACAGTAAATGGGAAAATTTCCCAGCGTGAGACAGTGCTTAGGAGAAATTCTCTCATCTCCTGTGCAGCCTCTGGGGGAGCTGCCACCTGCTGCAGAGGGAAGGGGAAGCCAAAGGCAGAGTCCTCCCAGGGTCTTCTTGCCCCATTACAAATGTGTTTCCCTGGTCAGCCCCGACTGGGTCCCTGTGTTAGTGTCCGTTCCTGTGTGTTTGGATATGGGGTTTGCGTCAGATGAAGCTCCCGAGAGGGTGCCTATTCCTCTGGCGATGGCAGGGACTTTGTGCCCAGACATTCTTCCATGGGAGTTGGGGGAGAGGGGCCTTTTTTTAGGGCATCCTGCATGGGTAGGGAGAGATGGCCTTTGGGGAGATGCTTGCCCAGAAAAGACATGTGACGGGGCTGTCTGGTGAGGGCTGGGGTCTGGAAAGAGACAGGCAAGCGCTGGGGATTAGCTGGCCGTGAGAAGGGGTGTCCCCGAAAGGAAGCGGGCGAGACAGATTATCGTGGAGGGATGCAGCGGGGAGCTGATGTCTTCCATCTGCTTGGAGACCGAGGCTGGGAGACAGGCGGCCCCGTCTCGTGGCCCTGCGCCAGCAGGGTGGATGGACCACAGAGCTGGGGGAGGCAGCTAGTGACTTTGGGGGCTGGGGGGAGAGGGAGACAGCCGAAACCCCGTCCGAACCAGGGGGCGATGCAGCCAGAGGCCGGACTTTGGTCCAAAGCAAGCCTGGCTCGCTTGGCAGGGGTGAGGGTGGCGAGCTGCACATTCCAGAGTGGGAGGCTAGATGGCAATGTGGGCGTGATGGTGTGCCCGGCAGCCTGCCCCCATGGCCCCCCGCCTGGGGGCCCCTAAGCCTGACTGACGCGCCAGAGCTGAAATCTCCTCCGTCAGCACGTTCCCCAGCCGCTGGCCCGCAGCAGGGCAGTGAAGCTGCAGCTGGCGAGGAGGAGGAAGATGGAGACTTTGGGGCGATTGAGCCTGACCTGGTCTCTTGGGGAAAGATCTGGCGAGAGCCAGGGAGCTCTGACTGGGACTGAGCCCTGTCTCCACGGAGGGGTGTTGAGTGGCTGGGGGTGGCAGGGTCACATCTAACCCCCGTCCCGTTTTGGTGAGGGCGAGCTGGGCTAGGGAAATCAATGGAAAGATGGGTCTGCGAGAGGCGCTGTGACTCCCACAGGGCCGGCAGCTGCTCGTGGCGGGGAGAGGAGGGACACGATGCCCTGCCCAGCGGC